ATCGGGATTGTGTGCGGCTCACCAATCTTGTTGCCCCAGTAGCCGCGGCGCACGGGAACAATGTTCAGCTTCGCCGCGACCATCGAGGCGCGAATGGCCAGCGACACCTCCTTGCCGACGCGCGCGCCGACACCGATGTGGCCGTTGCCGTCGCCAATAATGTTGAAGGCCTTGAAGCGCGTGCGCTGGCCGGCCGACGTCGCCTTCTGCACAGGGACAATGAGCATCAGCTCGTCGCGCATCTCACTCTCACTGATGAGCTGGTCCACAATCTGGTGCTCCTTGATGGGCATCGAGAAGAGGAAGATCTCCTCCAGCGAGTTTATCTTCTGCTCCTTCACAAGGCGTCCCAGCTTCGTGCAAGGGACCCACTCCTCCTTCTCGTTGCTGCCACCGCGGCCACCGCGACCACCACGGCCACCACGACCACCACGGCCCCGGCCGAAGCCGCGCTGCTCACCAGAAGGTGCGGGTTGGGCGTCAGCCATTGTTGTCCGGTATCTCCTCAACAAGCGGCTAAGTGAAAAGTAGTAAAATTGTGGAGAGAAGATATATATATATATATATAAACATGACTTTGTCAGGAATAGTTACATGGAAGGGAAGAGCTGGAAGAAAGATATATATATATATATATATTTTGTATAGAGAGGGAGAGCGGGAGAAAGGCGGCAGAAAAATAAACATATTATAAATGCTCATAATAATAGAGAAAGAGTGTCATATAACCTCACAGGACGTCTTGTTTCCCCGTATCCTTTGGGGAAGGTAATTCTACGCGTACTTAAATGGAGGGGAACCTAGTAACATGCAGCGTGGAGAGCACGGAAAAATCTTGTTTCATACCCGTAGTTGCATGGCACCCCGACTGTAATAACTCTGCGTGGAAGCGAAAGAAAAGATGATAATTGGCCGGTGCATTAGAGTTTCGTCCCTCCCTCCAGTGGGCGCAGAAAGTTGCCAGGGACAAGCCCTGCACTTACGGACCGTTCATATGCGTCAATGTGGCATGCCTCACACCATCCATTCTCCGCGTATTCCTCAACGACAAAGCGGTCACCTGCCTTAAAACCAATGAACCCCTCCTCTTCTGGGGCATCGTAGTCAAACACGGCAACAAAAACACGTTTGCCCTGACCACTCTTATTGTCGACTTCGCCGGGCACGGACGCCGTGGAAGCAATGGAACACTCTGAGGACGCCTCATCGCTACTTAGCTCCTCACTCTGTGAAAGACTTTCCGCCAAACTTTCATCGTATTTGTTGGTAAGCATACCACGCCCTTCGCGACGCGTCGTTCGCCGATCGTGTGCCTCACGGTAACGCCGTTGCATACCGTAGATCGTCTCCATTAGGAAAAAAAGTGCGAATACCAAAAGCCATCCTTTCCATTTCTTCGGCCCAGGCGTCGCACCCCCACCCGTCACCTCCTTCCTCGCCCTTGTGAACGTCTCTTTTGTAGCCTTGCGTGAAATGCTGTCCTCTTGGCTTTTGAGAAGAGCCTTCAGGGCCTTAATACTGTAGTATGTTCCGAATCCGACTCCAAACAGCTCTAGACCTGAACGCAGGATTTGAACCAGGGTCTGCAACACGTGACCCGTAATTTCAATGGCCGAATGTATAAGAAACTGCCTCTTTTGTTGGCGCTGCTTTTCAAGCGCCTCCTTCCTCTCTTTCCGCTCCTGTCTTCGACGCTCCCGGCGTTCACGCGGGCCCTCCTCGATAGCAGGCGGCCTACTGGGCACATGTGCCTGAGATTGATCCGATTGCGGCGGCAGGATACTATTATTTATTCCCTGCCCATTGGGCACTGTTGCGAGCCCATTCATTCCCTCCGGCATGCCCCCGTTAATCATGCCCCCGGACATACCGCCCGTTATTCCCCCCACTGTGCCTAACCCACCCCCGTACATGGAGGACATTCCACCCCCATAGCCCCCGTACATTGAGGACATTCCACCCCCATAGCCCCCGTATCCACCGTACATGGGGGACATTCCACTCCCATAACCTCCGTATCCACCGTACATCTTTATTTTAGAGCCTTCAATAAGCGCAGTAAACTGTTAACCCTAATAAATAGAAGAGCTGGGAATGGGGAATAAAATAGAATGATCCCAAATACATCGCACTCACAAACAGCATCTCCACTCCCCCACAGGGAACCTCATTGTATGCTTGCAAGTATCATGGCAATGCAAGATCATCCAGTATTATGCTATGATACGTGTAACTCAAGAAACAAAAAAAAAACGAAAAAACAAAAAACGAAAAAAAAAAAAAGTTAAGAAAAAGGTAGAATAGATTAATTTT